AAAGTAGTGTGTAATGTTAGAATGTAACAGAAAGTAGTATGTAATGTTAGAATGTAACTGAAAGTAGTATGTAATGTTAGAATGTAACAGAGTGTAGTATGTAATGTTAGAATGTAACTGAAAGTAGTGTGTAATGTTAGAATGTAACTGAAAGTAGTTTGTAATGTTAGAATGTAACAGAAAGTAGTATGTAATGTTAGAATGTAACAGAAAGTAGTATGTAATGTTAGAATGTAACAGAAAGTAGTATGTAATGTTAGAATGTAACAGAAAGTAGTATGTAATGTTAGAATGTAACAGAAAGTAGTATGTAATGTTAGGATGTAACTGAAAGTAGTGTGTAATGTTAGAATGTAACAGAAAGTAGTATGTAATGTTAGAATGTAACAGAAAGTAGTATGTAATGTTAGAATGTAACAGAAAGTAGTATGTAATGTTAGGATTTAACTGAAAGTAGTATGTAACTAAGTTTTTCTTTATTTTTAGGAATGTGGGGGTTCCATGACAGACTCCTGACTTTGAGAAAGGCTCTACATTCTCTTCTCACTCATAGTAGCTTCACTCAGTCATTCTATCGTAGATGGCGTTGGCAGACTGCATTACAGAACAAGCAGGTTAGTAGAGCAATTGTTTCGATACACATACTTAACCTTACATTCTAAATATAGTGACAGTGGACTTGTACCAGTTTCATTCCAAGTATAGTGACAGTGGACTTGTACCAGTTTCATTCTAAGTATAGTGACAGTGGACTTGTACCAGTTTCATTCTAAGTATAGTGACAGTGGACTTGTACCAGTTTCATTCTAAGTATAGTGACAGTGGACTTGTACCAGTTTCATTCTAAATATAGTGACAGTGGACTTGTACCAGTTCCATTCCAAGTATAGTGACAGTGGACTTGTACCAGTTTCATTCTAAATATAGTGACAGTGGACTTGTACCAGTTTCATTCTAAATATAGTGACAGTGGACTTCTACCAGTTTCATTCTAAATATAGTGACAGTGGACTTGTACCAGTTTCATTCTAAGTATAGTGACAGTGGACTTGTAATAAGCTATGTATTCTAGCAACATTGTAATAAGCTATGTATTCTAGCAACACTGTAATAAGCTGTGTATTCTAGCAACACTGTAATAAGCTGTGTATTCTAGCAACACTCTAATAAGCTGTGTATTCTAGCAACATTGTAATAAGCTATGTATTGTTGCTAGAATACACAGCTTATTACAATGTTGCTAGAATACACAGCTTATTACAATGTTGCTAGAGAATACACAGCTTATTACAAGCATTATTACAGTGTTGCTAGAATACACAGCTTATACAATGTTGCTAGATACAGAGCTTATTACAGTGTTGCTAGAATACACAGCTTATTAGAGTGTTGCTAGAATACACAGCTTATTAGAGTGTTGCTAGAATACACAGCTTATTAGAGTGTTGCTAGAATACACAGCTTATTAGAGTGTTGCTAGAATACACAGCTTATTACAGTGTTGCTAGAATACACAGCTTATTACAGTGTTGCTAGAATACATAGCTTATTACAGTGTTGCTAGAATACACAGCTTATTACAGTGTTGCTAGAATACACAGCTTATTACAGTGTTGCTAGAATACACAGCATATTACAGTGTTGCTGTTGCTAGAATACACACTGTAATAAGCTGTGTATTCTAGCAACATTGTAATAAGCTGTGTATTCTAGCAACACTCTAATAAGCTATGTATTCTAGCAACATTGTAATAAGCTGTGTATTCTAGCAACACTGTAATAAGCTGTGTATTCTAGCAACATTGTAATAAGCTGTGTATTCTAGCAACATTGTAATAAGCTGTGTATTCTAGCAACATTGTAATAAG